ATACAAATTACTACTCTAACGCATGTATCCTGGGGGACCGGGCCGCGACCGAATGCTTCGCGCAGGGAGAAGGTAGCGCATGTAGCCGGCATTAGAGTATAGCCACTGGCGTCGCCTACCTCTGCCGTGACACTCTTCTGAAATTCTCCGCTGTATTTCCAGCCACTGGGACAGGGTATGGTGGCGGGCGGCGACTCCATGGATGTCGAGTCATAGATGCTACACTGCTCCCACTGCAGCAGATCATTCATATATATATATTATATATATATATATATTATATATATGTGACAGAAAACAGTGATTGATCATCGATCGAGTGTATATATACTTTATATCTAGTCGTTATAGTCAAACGTGCATAGGAACAGCTACATATTAGCTTTGATATTATACAATCGATTGCTAGGAACTCACAAGGAAATATCGATAATATATATATATACGCGCGAAAGCGCGCGTTGTTCGTGGTGATGTCGTCCCGCACGTTGGTGCGCGCACGTGTGTGTGCATGCGTGTGCGTTCCGAGTTTGGTTACCTGTCCATCTTTATAAGGTATTGTTCCGTTCAGCTCGGTGACACCTGCGGGAAGTCTGCAGTGATGCACTGGAGTCTGTGCCAGAAATGTGATACCAAGAAAGTGCCATGCGCACGTGAAGAGTATCAGACACCCCAACACAAACACACACATCTGGAGCGACCGTAAGCACCTAGATGCTCATTGCCTCATCGGATGCATCGTGGCAGACTTTTTTATATTAAGCCTGTAGACAAAGACGTGGAATTTTTTAATTTATTAAACCCTTCGCTGTCCGTCCCAAACGCTACCTGTATATGATACCCGTACAATATATATTAGAGCTGTACCTTACCCGTCATATGTGGAGCCAGCACAAATATAACTCTGATCTGGAAGAAATGAGGGGCGTTCAGTAGCGCTAGGTCGCGCAATCCCAGTGCGAATGCACAATGCGGCAAGCTGTAGACAACTAACGCGACAATACCTCAACACTATAACGCCTCAACGCTGCATACTGGAAGTAGGCCTACTATGGATGCATGAACTTGAGATATACACTTCCACCCGCACGCACACACACATACACAAACGCGCGCACACACACACCCGCAAACAATCGCACCTGAGCGCACAATCGCACGGGACACGCTCACACATAATATTTTCGTACCGGGACGTCTGTATCAGCTATCAGCGTGTACGTGGTTCCCACATATTCTATCCCCCTGGCTATACAACTACGTATATGTACCGTGTATGCATGTCTAGCCGGGCCTATATAATTCAGCGGCAGCGGCCATGTCGTGAATCAGCGTACCGTGAAACATTTTTTAACCTGCGTGAGCAGCTTACAAACGTCCGCCATGTCCAAACAATGTTGCGGTACAAAGACCATATGCACGTATACTGTCTTTTGATGAGACATATAAGTATATCCATAGAGGATGAATATACGTTCATTGTAATACCATACCGCATATATACACACACACATTACTATAATTCGATTTGCTTCATTGGTTTAGTTAGCAATTGTCATTAGCTAGAACGTGTATTATATAGGAATTCCACGCGCGATGCCAGCTGGTTAGAGAAGGGCACCAAAAGAGGTTAGATAAAGTGTACGGCTATAAGGTCCCTGTCGGTGGGGTATAAGGTCCTAGATGGGGGATGTGGGCGTGTGTGCTGATGAGGGGGGGGGGAGCTTATGTTTCATTTAGTGCATCCCGCTGGGGGAGGGGGCAAAATTTGCATTGCGAGTAGGAGGCCAAACGTCAGGGAAGGAGGCTATATTTATATATTATAACTTGTACTTGGGATTCAATTTTTTCTCAAAATTTCAAGGTTTTCAATTCTCAAATGATATAGATATTGCTTTAGCGCTGCTAGCCGGTAATAATCACAAATTATATATCGTATATATATATATATATAGGTCTATGTATAATTATATATCTATATATCTATATTGTGTACTGGCGCGCGCGCGCGTGTGTGTCAGTAGGGTATGTGTGTGTGTGTGTGTGTCTGCTGTGGTGCTGGTTGTGTGTGTCGTGTAGTGTGTCGTGTGTGTGTGTGTGTGTGTGTGTGTCACTGTGTGTGTGGTATGGGTTTGTGTCGTTGTGTGTGTGTGTGTGTGGTGTTGTGTAGTGTCGTGTGTGTGTGTGTGTGATGTGCACTGTGTGTGGTGTGTGTGTGGTGTGTGGGTGTGTGTGTGTGTGTGTGTGTGTGTGTGTGTGTGTGTGGGGTGTGTGACGTATGGTATGTGTGGGTGGTGTGGGGGCGGGGGTGTACATGCATGTTGTGTTTACGGGCACAGTGTGTGTGTGTGTTGTGTGTGTGTGCTGTGTGCGCGCGCGCGGCGTGTGTGTGTGTTGTGTGTCGGCGCGCGCCGTGTGTGTTGTGCGTGTGTGTGTGTGTGTTGCGCGCGCCTGCAGCGCGCGCGCGTGTGTGTGTGTGCGTGCGTGCGTGTGTGTACATGTATATATCAGCATATCAGGAATAAATAATAATGTATTAAATGTGTGATTATTTACTCCTGATATATATAGGCCTATATGTTTATATATATTATTTGCGGTCATTGCGTCCGGTGTTTTTCTACTTAGGTATATCATAGATATATACAAACACATGTGTTTGTATATATCTATGGGTATATAATATCAGGAGTTAATAATGACAAATTTGTCATATTATCAGGAGCGTATAATGACAAATTTGTCATTATACGCTCCTGATATTATATATATGGGTTACGATATCTATGGTATAGATCACATGATTTTAACCGCCAACCACAGCGTGTGCGATCCAGCTCTAACTTACACCACGCTTCATGATTCGACAGTCCATGTAACGAGGATTTTGATTGGTTACAAAAGATAGCACGAATTTGACTGTTTGTTTGAGCATTTTGAGTGCCGATTTCAGAAGTTTATCTTTCCAAAGCTAAGGCGTTTTAGGTGGCGACGCGGGGGCCCGCCGGGGGCCCCCGGGCCGGGCCGGGCGGGGGGGCGCGGCCGCGGGCGGGCGGCGCGCGGGGGGGCCGCGGCGGCGCGCGCGGGGCGGGGGGGGGGCGCGGCCGGCCCCGCGGGCGGGGGGGGGGGGGGGGCCGGGGGCGGGCGCGCGGGCGGGGGGGCGCGGCGCGGGCGGGCCGCGCGCGGGGGGGGGGGCGGGCCGCGGGCCGGGGGGGGCGGGCGGGGGGCGGCGGCGGGGGGGCGGGGGGCGGGGGGGGGGGCGCGCGCGGCGGGCGGCGCAGGGCGGCCGCGCGCGCGGAGGCGCGGAGCGCGGGGGGCCCTACCATTTTTTGGTAAAGTTATTACTTAGTGTCTGTGAGTACCACAGTGATATTAATCAATGATTTAATTTTAATTGTTGCTATCGTAGAGCTGTATGTATAAACTACTAGTACTACTACTAGCTTGTCGCTCTCCTCTCGTGTAGACTGTAGTGTAGCTGTAGTACTACGTACTTTACCGTAACGTACGATATCAATTTACTGATTGTGTTAGGCCATGAGAAATTGGTATGAGTTTAACCGTCCGAGTATTTTGAAAGTGAGGAGGCTTTTTTCCTTTTTTCATTAATTCATTTCATATTTGTAGTCTACCATATTTCCATGTTTTTCGCGGTCGGCTTGTAAGTCGATGTCTCAGGATACGGTCACTGCCAGCAAGATCAAGCCCGCACGCTACAGCACACACGCGCCGCATTGACTATCATATACTCTACACTATTAATATATATATAGTCAATGCGCGTGATGTGTCGTACGTGCTCGGCTTGATCCTTGCTGCCACGTTGGAATACGTCACGCATGTTTTTGCCCCTAGATAGTAGACAAACTAGCCTCGCAAGAAACGGTACGCTACAGTTAGGCATCCCTATGTATAGACAATCCTCGCACAGCCTTCGTCGGGCTAACCGAAACCAAACCCAATGTCTCAAAGAGCCAGCCCAGAGGGTACAGGACCCAATGAAGATGAAATAGGCCCTATAGCGTTTTTAGTATTGGTTAATGTTAGGATAGTTGAACGCTCTGAATGAGAACAACTTGGGTTTTTAATGGATTTAAAAATGAAAATAATGAAATACTTTTAATAATGAATATTTCGGGGTGGCTCTGACGGCATGCGGGCGTGGCGGTAAAATGTCATACCTCAATTCTCATGGCCTTATAGTTGATCTGCCGGCACATTAATATAGCTCTAGCTACTATTATATATATGTATACCGTGTCAGTTGCCGCAGGCCTATAGAAGCTTCTTATTACGGATGCGGCACCGAGCAGAGCAGAGCAGAGTAGAGTAGAGTAGAGTAGAGTAGAGTAGAGTAGAGTAGAGTAGAGTAGAGTAGAGTAGATCAGAGTAGAGTGAGAGTAGAGTAGAGCAGAGTAGAGTGAGAGTAGAGTAGAGTGAGAGTAGAGCAGAGCAGAGTAGAGTAGAGTAGAGCAGAGCAGAGTAGAGTAGAGTAGAGTAGAGTAGAGTAGAGTAGAGTAGAGTAGAGTAGAGTAGAGTAGAGTAGAGTAGAGTAGAGTAGAGTGAGAGTAGAGTACAGTAGAGTAGAGAGAGGACCCAAACTAGAATTGTGCCTAGATGCTCTAGGGCCCGACCCACTTAATGCACCAGCCTGACTGAATATAGCAATTATCAAGACCACTGTCAGCACATAAACCCTGACAGAAAGGGTTTATTTATGTGGTGTTGGAATTATGCTTTACATTTGTACTCATTGCAGTGGAATCTTGTTTGTTGGAATGCCTTCCTGAAAGACACCGCAGCTGCCATATTCATGGCCGGCATCATGATGGGCGCGTTGATCATGCCAACTATTGCAGACATGGTCGGACGTAAGCTCCTCATCTCAGTCGGTTTGGTGGCCATGTTCATTTTCAGCACGATGATTGTGTTTCTGAAGAGCTTTGTTGCATTCCTCATCATGCGGTTCTTTGCAGCGGTGCTGATATCGGTAAACATGCATTGAATTACCCTAATCTATATTTTTATAGAAAATATTAAAGGAATAAAATGTGTGAAGAAAAGCATATTATTAGCAGGTATCAAGAATTCCATAATGTTGAAGCCAATCTGTTCAGATCAAGAATATAATTTTGTTGCTTTGGACAGAAGAGAGTTATCCTATTTTGAAGTAATTTTTTTTTAATTTGTACATGTTACTTTGCAGGGAAGCTTCCTAAGCCTATATGTGTTGTCAGTTGAGTGGTTTGCACCCCGTCAGAGGGCCTTCGTCGGTGCGGTCATCTGGGTTCCTTGGGTCGCTGGATACTGTACACTGCCTCTAGCAGGATATTTCATACATAACTGGCGCCACTTACAGCTGGTTCTTAGCATTCCTATTGCAGTTGTTTTCTGTTTTCCATGGTAAGTCCTTGAATTGCAAATGAATGTCAGTGCTTTGAAACGCATTGTAAGAATGATCAGAATGTCCATCCTTAGTTATTATATAGGATATAATAATATATGTATACTCTCGCCCGCACGCATATATCTAGAGAGGGGGGAGGTAGAAGGTGGAGCTTACATGGTCTTTTTAATAATGTACATTTCTGTCTTGTTTCAGGCTTCTGCCTGAATCAGTGCACTGGCTTGTTTCTCAGAATAAGTTAGCTACTGCTGAGGCACTTGTACAAGAAGCTGCTAAAACAAATGGCATTACGCTACCAGAAAGATTTAGCTTAACTGCACCAGAAAAATCTAGTGAGCACAGAAAGAAAACTCTGTGGGACGTTCTACACACACCTCTGCTGAGAGTCTATGCTGTGATGATGTGCTTTTTGTGGTAATTACATAAGACTGCTTCAAAGATGTATAACTTTGCCAATCAGTCGATTGCACAAACAACTAATTCCCTATCATGCGGTAATGCAGTAGTCGTTTGACTATCTAGAAAATGTTATGTGGTTCAGTGCTAAAGGCGTGTCAATGCAATAGCTGGTAAATGAGCGATCACTTATTACGTAACAACCTTACTTGCTTACATGAAATACAATAAAATACAGATGATACATTGAATAAATGAAAAAGTAGCATTATATTTATATTTTTAGGTTTGCAAATTCACTCGTGTACTATGGCCTTACATTTGGTGCTGCAACATGGGCAGGGAATGTGTACGTAAACTTCTTCCTGTCTGGACTCATTGAAGCTCCATCTTACCTCTTCTTATTTTTCTCGTTGAAATGGTGAGTTGAAATATTGAGTAATAACTAAATATGCCAATATTGTGAATTTTGGACATATGGCCTAGTTAGGATATAGAAGATCTATCTTTACAGATACTGTTTTCAATTTCTACAGCCATAGAAAAGTAGAGTAGACGAACTACACTAATTAAATAAACCAAAATAAGTGACTATATATTTGTAATATTATGCCTACAGGTGGGGAAGACAAAGGCCAATATGTGCTTTCCATTTGATAGCAGGCATTCCTTTACTCATATTGCCATTTCTACCCCAGAAAACTGGTATGTAATTGCAACCCATTTCATTATTGTCTCTTGAAGAATCTTGAGACGGACTAGTCACCGGTCATACAAATATCAAGACCAACAATTAACAGATTATCTTTTATACAAATTATAAATGACAAAAACAGCTAAATAGAGTGAATGGACAATGGTGCTGGCAGTTAGTAACGCACGAAGGGTCGTTGTCGTATCAGGTACTACATATATGTACCCGAGGTAGTTTTAGGTTGTTTAGTATTATGTTTATATTTTTATATGAGGTATGTTTAGGGTTAGGGTTAGGGTTAGGGTACACTTTGTGTATACATATATGTACCTCGAGTACATATATGTAGTACCTGATACGACAACGACCCATTCAGCGTTAGTAACAGTAGGGCTCTCCACCACCATTATGTATCTTAGGTTTAGTTTGGGCCTTGTCAGAAGAGTACATGTATAAACGCATTCTCTGTTCAAATAGGAAACGCATACAGCATATTGATAATGGTAATTGTGCTTGTAGACAAAATCAAGTGTGATCATGTATAAGTAATTAACCATTTATGTCGAGCGTGTGTTATTCTATTTGCAGCTGATGGTCGTGATCTGGCGACGTTGCGTACAGTTCTAAACATCATTGGCAAGTTTGGAATTTCGTCATCATTTTGTGCAATATACCTCTTCGCTTCTGAGCTTTACCCCACCGTAGTAAGGTAATGAAACTTTTGCAATTGATATGCTGTATATTTACTGAAAGGGGTTGATCATTCTGTGCATTTACTCTACGTGTAACGTGAATATAATAACAGTACATTAGATGCTGTGAAGTAACATACTAATCCATCTATAGCATCTATCTATACCCACTTTTACCCCACATACCTAATATTCAATGTAGATTAATTTCGTTTTTGATTGACATCACGATTTAAGGTGAACCCTACTTTGCCAAGAGTAATTTTTCCAGCATGTGGCACATCAATCAGTAACAATACTGCATGCTGTATTAAAATTGTTTTCGAATAACAACTTGTGCTGGTATAGCAAGGCACATCATGCAGTGTTAAAATTGATTTTAATTGATTATTTATAGGAGTGCAGGTATCGGCATATCATCCGTATTTGCCCGCATAGGTGGTATCATAGCACCATACCTGGCCAACAGCATTGGCATCTTGGAGCCAAAAGCACCACCGCTGATATTTGCACTGTTGGCTATAGTTTCGGCTGTCTTCTCTATGATTATTCCTGAGACATCACAACTGCCACTTATGTCATCTCTGGAGGATTCTAGATTTCTCAGGTCCGTTCCTGAGATTTCATTCAACTTAAAACCTATTCAAATGGTTTATATAGTTCGTTGCTTAGTGACTAACATACTGAATCACTTAGAAATGAAGACAGAGTGTATAAGTATATAAACACCAGATGTCGTATGTATGTCATATTGTCAGGAGCTTATAAATGGAATCATAAGCTCTTTCCATTTATAAGCTCCTGATATTGTTATAGCCTTTATGGGGATTTACTGTAGTCGTGTGTTTGCAGTAAAAGCTACAGGGATGCACATCTGCTGATTGCGCAACAACCAAGAGAAACATCGGTGGTAACAGAAGGTACAGATGAAGTCCAGCCAAGTGAACCGGAGCCTATTTTCAGTTTACACAACAATATGCAAGCCAACGAAGATCCAACACCAATGGTTTTCTATCAGACATCTGTGTAGTATAAGGAGACTATAAAGATCCAATGTGTATATAATATAAAGAGTCAACTAAGATCCAATGCCAATGATTTTCTGTCGGACATCTGTGTAATATAAAAATACTATCAAGATCCAATCCATACAATATATATGTTCTTTTTTATCCATGCCAGCTTGTTTACACTTCGATTAGCACGACTCTTTTTGGGACAACTCTACAATACATACTTAGAAGAAGACTGAAGAATTATGCCCAAGTGAAAATATTTATTAAGAATGTTTTTATTCAAGGCATCAACATGTATGTCAAAACTTAGATTAGTATGGATCCATACCTAATAAAACCATATATATGTTCTCATGGATCAGCAGTCTCATAATTTGAACATTAAGCCGGGCTTATGTCGGCCTTGCGACGCGACGCGATTGCCTTGCAAGCGACCTATTTTCTGCAATTTTCTGCAACTGGTTGCAAGTCGCAGCGACGATCGCGTCGCAGCGACGATCGCGTCGCTGAGAAAGTTCGACCTAAGCACCCCTGCGACTGCCAGCGACGGGTCTGCGACTGCTTTCGACTGGAAAATTGTCAGTCGCAATGCAATCGCAGCGAGTCGCACATGTTCTACTCTTGACGCGCGACTGGTTCCACCGGTCGCAAGCATTGTTTTCATGGTTACTACCCGACATAAGCTGCCTTGCGATCGCTGCGACTAAATTCGAATGCATAATGAACAATGCATAAAAGTGAACAATGCGAATGAAACAATCAGTGCATACAGTCATATACACAACATGCACACAGCAACAAGTCATGTAAACTCATTTAGTTGCGCGATCAATAGGCGATCGTCGCTTCGACCCAAGCGCCTTCTGCAACTGGCTGCGACTGGTCGCAGGTAGTCGCTGTCAGTCGCGTCGCAGTCAACCTAAACACTGCAGTCGCAGTGAATTGCAGTGCGTCGTGTCGCGTCGCAAGCAATCGCAACCCGACATAAGCCCAGCTTTACACCAGGAACAAGTAATAGTGATATTTTATTTTTAATTTAAATTACATTATTTTATATATCTCTATTGTTTAAATAAAATGCCTGCTCATGATAAAATAAAGACTGGTTAATTTTTATATGAAGTACCGCGACTGTTGTTATTAGGCTTCAACAGTGACATTGTAAAGGAAAATGTTATCACCTTCTATTACTCGACCGATTATTACATTTGGCTTGATCAATTTAATTTTCAAAACGTCTGCCTCGTCATGCAACACCACCACGCACCTTTATTCCTCCAGAAGCATCCTTGCATTTGCCCCAAGCCCATTCTGCTTCTCTCTTCCTCTCTTTCTGTGTCAGTAATGCACACGATGAAATGGAAAAGGAGATTTTATCTCTTACACACAAATAACCATGTATACATAAATCTCAGCCAACACCATAAATTTATCCCCAACATGTATTATATTACATTCACTTCCTTGTTCGTGCTTGAAGATCATCACCAGAAGATTCCCAATAAAATACATTAAACCTGCCGCACTTCACGGCGCCACCGTAGACGTGCGCACGAGCGAGAAACGACAGTGGCGCCACCTCAGAGCTTCAACCGCTTGATGTCCTCGATGCGGAAGTCCGTGCGCAGCGCGAGCACCTGCCGCACCTCGCCAGGCGTCAGCCGCCACGTGAGGGCGCCGGCGTTCGCGCCCCAGTAGTCGAGGATCTCGGCAACGCGCTCCAGGTTGAGGATGGTCGCGATCTGCGAGAGCCGCGCGAACCGCTCGCGTCCGCTCCACGTCGACGCCGACGCCAGGTACCCAGTCAACGCGCGCAGCTCGCGGTCAAACTGCACGCCGCCGAGCCGGTTGAAGCGCGACGCGAGCACGGCGCCCTCTAGCATCGCGGCGACGTCTATGACGAGCGCCGCGACGAGGCGGTCGTAGTTGGCGGGCAGCAGCGGCGCGCGGAACGACGTCAGCAGCGACTCGATGTTGACGACGAGGCCCTGCACGAAGGGGTCGTTCGCCTCGTACTCGGAAAACTCCGCCTCGGAGATGTCGTGCGAGACGTACGTGAACACCTCGACCCACGGCTTGAGGCGCGGCCGCACGGCGCTGCGGTGCGCCTGCTCCACGCCAAACTCGAGCGTCTCGGCGAAGCGCGCCTCGGCGGCGGCGAGGTCGGTGAGGCAGCTCGCGAGCTTGGCACGTTCGCGCTCGCCGGCGTGCGACAGCCGCGCGGTGAACTCCGCCTCGAGCGAGGCGCGCAGCGTGCGCAGGTGCTCGCCGCTCACCGCGACGTCGTTCAGCGTGACGAGGAAGCGTACGCGCCCCTCGTCGGCGTCCGACAGCTTGCCCTGCTGCAGCGACGCGTGCAGCACGCTGTATGCCTGCTGCAGGTCGAGCAGGCCCGACGGGAAGCCGGCGCGGAGGCGCGCGCGCAGCACGTCGCCGTACTCCGTCTCGACGACGGCGCGAGCGAGGTTCAGCAGCGCGCAGACGACGTCAACGGCGCCGCTGGACGCCGCGCGACGCACACACTTGCTGACGACGAAGAAGACGTCGTCGACGACGCTCGACGTGCGGCCGTCGTCGTCGGGCGCGTCCATGGCGACCGCCTTGGCGACCGACTCGCGCATGAAGTACTCCTCGAGCGAGACGTAGCGGCCGAGCAGCTCCTGCATCGCGCGTGCGAGCGCGCACCGCCCGATAAGGTCGTCGAGGCGCGACGACATCTGGCGGTGGCGCTCCTCGTGCGTCGCGACGGCGGCGTCAATGTCGGAGGCCGCGCGGCGGCGCACGAACCGCAGGTAGAGTTCCGCGCGCGCGTTCAGCAGAGTCGCCTCCGCGAGAACGACGTCGAGTTCTCGCGGGTCGAGACGCTCGCCCGGCGACGACCGCGGCGCCACCTGCAGGACGAGCGCGCACTTATGGTCGAAAGCGCGTGCGCGGCGGAATTCGTCGATGACGCGGCAGGCCTGCACGTCGACCTCCTCCTGAAGGTCAGCTACGAACGTGAGAACACGACCCGGACCGTAGTAGGTCTCGACGAGCGGTTGGTGGATCTCGACGACGCGGGCGACGCCCTCTAGCAGCAGCGTGAGCGCGTCTGTGTAGAGCACGCCCGCGCGCGGCCCCGCCGGGTCTGCCCCGAGGGCCGCCTCGAGGTTGGCGCGCGCCGTCGCAGCAATCTTCTCGCGAAGGAAGCCGGAAAATCGCCGCAAGCCCTCGTCGTGCAGTCCGAGCAGCGGGAAGATTTTGAAGAAGCGCTCGACTGAGGCGACGTCGCCGACGGCGACAGCGTCGTCGAACTCGCGTCGGACGAGTGCGACGAGGTCTCGCGTGGCTGCGTGCAGCAGCGCGAACGCCGCGTCCAGCTGCCCGCCCTCGCCCGCGTCGTCGTCGTCGCCCGCCGCCGCCGCGTCGCGCAGCGCGCTCTCGTCGAGGCCGAGGAAGCGGTGGATGTGCGCCGCCGCCTGCTCGTAGTCCTCGACCTGCAGCGCCATCTGCACGCCGTCCGTGCAGAACTTCAGGTCGAGGATGTCGTCGACGCGGCTGAGAGACTCGTTGACGCGGCGTTTCGCAACGTCCAGCTGCCGCACCTTGCTGCTGACATTGTCGGCGAGCGTCGACGTGAACCCGATCATGTTGGCCAACTGTCGCGAGTCCGCATCCAGCAAGGACAACCCGGGCAGCAGCTGGTCGAGACGCGACAACTTCGCAGCGAGATCGTGCTGCTGGGCGAGCAGCGTGTCCAATTCGACGTCAATCTCGTCCTCGCTGCGGCAGAGCTGCTCGTAGGCGGCTCGCATGTCGGCATATTCCGTCATCTTCTCGACGGAGATTCCGTCGGTAGACGGGTTCGTCAAGGCGGCCGCCATGTTGTTTACGTTTACACAGCCAGGAGGCTGGACTCCAATCGGAAAACCCATTCGACTCTTCCCGTCATGCCTAGAAAACAGTCTCGGGGGTATCACGGGGAATCAGCGGAGTGATTTTACATAAATTCATGGTTAATTGTTTGCCGGAAGCTATGACTGCTGTATTTATCATAGACTGGTGCTCGCTGCTGGATTGGCATGAGCGAGCATTCATAGCGAGTGGAGCCGACGGCGGGGACCAGTCTATGTTAATCACCGGAACTATCATTCAAGATAGCCTGCTTTTAGACGGCAATACCATATGCGAAAGGCAAATTTGGGTTCCTTCATAATTTAAAAGAGAAACAGATAGAGACATTGGCATCCCTGTACGCAGGGAGAGACTGTCTGAGTATTCTTCCCACCGGCTACGGTAAGAGTATCATATATCAGCTGCTGCCATGGATATTTCAGTTGAAAGCACGCTCAGGAACAACCCATGTCCATGATTGTTTTGGTAATTCGCCCCTCAGTTCTCTAGACTAGAGATCAGGTGTTAGAGCTGAGATCCATGGTGTTTCAGCGTGCTTCCTGAATATTCACGGCAGCTCTGGTACAATCTCGAGTCGTAGCAGGGAGGAAGAATGCGAGGATGAGGATGAGGAAGAGTCCGATAGTGTTTTCAGGGTTCTCCCCAGGATGAAATTCAAACAGGGGGGAGGGGGAAGGGGTAGCGGCGGGCTGACGGGGGACGGGGTCCGCGAGGGGGCGTGTATATTTTTACCGTACACTTAATTAATTCGCGTACAAAAATCGTCACCTCAACAACCATAGACGGTACTTTGGGGTTCACTGTTATCATAATAAGGATAGCTCGGGAACGTCGCTGTATAGTTATATAAGACAGTTTAACTTAGTGGTACTGTCTTCAGTACATATGCGTGTGTAGCGGTAAAAATACCGCGGTCTGATTCCTGTCGAACGAATCAAATTCTTAGACTGAATCGACTTCCCGGCTGCTTGGCAACTTTCATTGTGGTGGAATTTAAACACGCCCGCGGGGGGCCTTAGTTTTCCCAGACGGCGGGTCGGCAACGGTCGACTTCAAACAAGGGGGCAGTGTTTCACCAATAAGCGGTGGAGCACAGCGCCGCTCCCCCGTTTGCGCAACCGTAGGGAGACCTGCTTGTTTACCACCTGTGCCTCTGAAGGGGGTGACCCTCGAGGAGATCGCCAGAGGTGATTTCAACATTTATCTACATGCATCCAGAAGCGGTTTAGAAACAAGAAACTCTACTCTATTCTTAGATCCGCGGAATATTTCGTCTCGTGTGTGCTCAGTCGTAAATCGACGAGGCACACATGATTTCAGAATGGTAAGAACATGCATTGTCGACTAATTACAAGTTTCATGAACCCACCACTTATCCTTTATTGAGTACCGCTTTTGAGTCTTCCGCCTCTTTATTTTCTGTCCTCTGTAGCGCAATTCCAGCCAAATAAATTTACAAAAAATATGTTAGTATTATTTTGTTACTTATTTTGTCTAGAATTTCTGTTTGTTCTTTTTCACCTGTAGTGTGTTTCTGGTTTCTCCACGATTTCTAATCTAAAAACTAATTCAAATCTAAAAACTTTTAACTAAAATTTTGCAACATGTCAGTTTATCTTATACCATAATACTGAAACACAACTGTTTATCACCTACCATTATTTTTGTAGCTTGCAAAGTGATGCTTTGGCATCAGGTTTGTGATCACATTTTCAATGCTTTCGAGTAAGCAAAATTGAAAATGTATTGTTGCTTGATGTTTATTACTTCCTGTATAGTATATTTCATAGGCAGACACTGGCCAATGAATCGGGTAAAATTTAGAATGTGGGTTGCCCCGGAGTAGTTGGGGCAAGTTCGAGCACCGGGGCGGGCAAGTTCTAAACCGTTTTAGATTCCATGCAAAAATAGACTTGCATCCCGCGTACTATTTATTTCTGTCTGTCGGTTTTGCTATTTGTAGCTATTTGTCAGCTACTCTATAATGTTGGAATATTGTAAATGTATGAGTCAACAAATTAGGGACATTTGTTCGCCTGCGTCATCCGATGAAATGTACATGTGTTTACAAGAAGTGTATTATGTACTGTTAACTACATGTACATATTATATATTCATAGGGGTGAAGATTTCCGTCCTTGTTTCAAACGGCTAGGGGAGCTGACCTGCCTGTTTAGTGACTGTCCCCATTTGGCGCTCTCTGCAACCCTATCACCGGAGACAATTAAATACATCATCAAGGTTTCTGAAAGTGTTTTATTTCATATTTTACAAAAATAAACAAAATAAACAATGTCATTACATTGCACAATCTATAGCGAAATACGCCAAATATAGTACATAGGGTATGTGTCAATAGAGCAGGTACGGGGGGGGGTATGGGATTTGTCATGAGAAGTATTGATACAACCACTGGCAGAGGAATTAAAGGAGAAACTGAATAGTTTCCTATTGACCATAGTGTATGTAGAAAGTCTGGAGTCACTTGGCTATTTCTACCAGTTCCTGAATAGTTATCTACAGGAGCTACAATATTTCCCCGTACACGACAAAGAGCCAGAGTGTCGAGTGTTTGCACAATATCATACAGAATACACACAGAAGATGAAAGTCGCACATTGTGTGTGAACTGAAGAAGAAGGACCCAGTCCCTAAGGCTGTTTTAGCAAACTGTGGCGCTAGGTATGGGCTTAAATGCACCGCACATCCGCAGAATAATTCACTGCAGGCCCCCTACATCATTGGAAAAGTATGCTCAAGAAATAGGAAGAGCTGGCAGGGATGGAGAGCAAGCTCATGCAATGCTCTACTACAACAACAGTGACATAGCTAGTAACAGGAAGGGGTTGACAAATGGTATTGTCAAGTTCTGCAGAAACAAGGAAAGCTGTCTAAGACTACAGCTGGTACAGTACTTTGGATTTAATAGCGTGATTTTCAGTGGGGATAGGAAAGACTGCTGCTCCAACTGTGCTGAATAAGCAAAACATTTCACACAAAGTTCAACATGTCTCATACCCCTGTCTGACCATGAGTTATCGCTGTAGATACATGTAACCAATGCACTCACTACAGTTTATACGCTTATAAAAATAACATAGAATACAAACCACAGTTATCACCTGTATATTGACAACACTGATATTCACTGTATATTGACAACACTTGGAGTCGCACTGACTGTGGTAATGACATAACTACTGATGAATCACTCGTAATGGACAAAACACACTTCCCATCTACTCTCTTCTCACACTGCTATCAACTGTATATGGACAACACCTGATTCATCACTGTAAATGACATACCGTTCCTCTCACTTCTCGTCTCCTATTCATCCCCATTAATCACTCGTATTATTGATCAACACTGTTATCACTGTAATATTGACACACACTGTTTTTATCCAACTGATATGACACACACTGATATCAATGTATATGGACAACTACTGCGTTAATCCATCGTATGATGTCATCCAAAACACTCTCATCTCTCCTCTCTCGTCTCTCCTCTCTCTCCTCTCGCTCTCACTGTTATCTCGACTTCCTGCGTCTCACCACTCGACATCACACGTTACACTGAGTAATTAACTAGACTCTAACACATCTCGCATTCCAGCTCGTATATGAAACTACCCTCTCGATATCACTCGCTATATGACAACTGTATCAGCTGTAATTATGACAACACTGATATCACTGTATATGCGACGAACACTGATCATCATGTATCTTTCGAACTCACCCTCACGCTTATCTCACCCTTATCACCCTGTATATGACAACACACTGTTATCAACTAGTATATGACAACACCTGATATCACGTCAACGTATTACACTGAGCAAAACAGTTCAGCATCGATAATATGAGAACTGAGCGTCTGTTATAGCCGGTTGGGGGAGGGAGGAAGGGGGGAGGGGGCTAGGGAAGGAGGGAGGGGGGAGAGGGGTTTTGTGAGTGGGGTGACTGGGTAGTAGAGGGACAAGGTTTTACCAACACTCGCGTTATCATCGACCGACTCAGTAATATGACAACACGCCATTGCGCGCTACTATTATACAGAAATTTGAAGTTAGCTTGTAAGTAATACATGACAAGCGCAATTAATCACCACTGTTATCACTACAGTTTGTACAAATCCGCGTTTCTCTCCTTGCCTACTTGACAGTATACTGAACAACACTGAATATCAACTGTAGATAACAAACACTGGATATCCTCTTCAATCGTTTCAGAAACGACATTCGCAACGCACAGGACATTGACGCAACGGTTAAAAGAGACAAAACACCTACGCGTTATCACTGGAACGTATACTGACAACACTGTTATCTACTGTAGTAATGACACAGTACACTGATACACTGGTATATAACAAAACAGTTATCAACTGTATATGAACAACACAGGATGTTATCAGATCAACCTGTATATGACACCGAACACTGAAATCACTGTGTATATGACAACTGATACTCGTTAGTACTAAGTATAATGACAACATCTCGAAGATAATCACTGAGATAATACACTGCGGCAATTGTAACGTCACACATTCGCCACGTTTTTCACGACATCCGACGTGTTATCACTTGTAAAAAATGACAATCATGGAAATAATCCAGTTCACCGTAAATATGAACAAAAATTGAAACGAACCAGTTATTCCGGCCACTGCAGTATAGACCACACTAGAGCAGTTTACCAACTGTGACATTCCGGCAACTTACAAATGAACAAAAAACAAACAGCGCATACGTAACGTTTCATACTCGACATCGCACTGTAATTCAGTTAACATGACAAAACTGAGGATATCATCATGTAGATCAAAAACCAATCATCAGTCATCATCTTCGTTAATAGTCCATCTTTTGCCGTGCCTGATGTGGACTTTGCAGCATATATCCTCTCCACCGTTCTCCTGTCTTGCGTTGATCCCTTCATCTCTATGTCACAAGTTCGGTGACCTTCAGATCTTTCTTAAGCGGTCACGGGGACAATGCTACTGCGCTCCGACCTATCCATGTTCTCTTTGGTCTTTCCAAACGCGGAACGTATCCATTTATTCCAGGGATCTCTAAACATTCTTCCACAAACCTCAGTACTAGCCTCCGTTCGCGTCTACGCATTCGTCCGAACGTGCTTTTTATTCACAACGCCCAACCATTGTAGTCTTCTGGCATCTTGCGCCAGTTCTAATAATCGTTTACACTGTATTCTCTCCTTCAAGACCACAACATCACTCTCTTTTGCACACACATCAGTAACTGGGTTATCACTGAATTCCTAATCCTGCCATTTAATCTCCAGCTATGTATCTTAGCAATACGACTTCTGAATGCACATCGTTCTCAATATATTTTGCACCATTCACTCTGATTCTGTTCAAATAAGCCACCCAAAGACACTTTCCACCCGCGGTTCCCGTATATAAAACCGGATTTCACAAACCAGCCGACGTTTTTTTCCCCCGAGACAAGACTTTTTAGTGCAGGGAAAGTCGATGGAACGAAAAACTCGAAATAATTCCTAGCATAATAGATGTTTTTTCTGATACAATCTATATATGGCAAGTATATCTGCAATTTTCTCTCGGCTTTCTGTGACAACTTCCAACACATCACATCACAGATGTTGATTATGTCATCGGTTTCTTCGTCCCATATCTTATTAAACCAAAGATCAACAATGTTACATCTATCCACAAACACGTCAACGAATAGAAAATGTTGATTACCAAACATTGAGATATGGACAATAAGTAATAATGATCAAGAGGTAATAAAGACATAACAAAACGGTTGTAAATAACTACGGCATTGAGTCATAGACTCTCTTGTTAACATCATGATAACTGCTGCTACTAGCTGCGCTAGCTACGGAGCTGCAGCCATTAGCCGCTACTCTGCGAAGTCTGCTCCTTTAAAGCGCGAATAGCATCTCTGTGTTACGCTTCTCTAAAGCTAATGCTGCTGCGTGCGCTGCGCACTCATAGGCTCGCCGCCCACTGCTCGAGCTTGCTATGCGCGCTGCTGCTCTAAAGCTGTGCTGCTCTCGTCTCCGTCACACATTTTACTGCTCCGCGCTCGCGACTGCGCTCGGCTGACTACCCTAGCTGCTGCGCTGCTCGCTACGCACTTGACGCTTGCGCTATAACTGCGCTGCCCTAACAACAGCATTCTCACGCTGCTGCACTGCTGCTGCTGCACTAACTTACGGCTGTCTGCGGCTATACTGCGGCGCTGGCGCCAACTAGCTTGCTAGCTGGCGCGCACTGCTGTGCTGCTGCTCGCTTGCTAGCTGCTACGCTTGCGCTTGCGCACTGCATACTGCTGCGCTGCTACTAGGCTGCGCGCTGCTGCTGCGCTGCACATGCTCGCTGCTGCTGCTATGCACGACCTCGCGCGCTGCCTGCATACTTTGCGTCTACTGCAACTAACCGCCACGCGCTTGCCTTGCTGCGCTAACGCGTTGGTTGTCTGTTTTATTGGCCTGGCGCTGCGTATCACTGCCTTAGCAACCCGCTCGGCTTCGCTACCGCGCACTTGCTCTACTTCGCGCCGCGCTCCGGCCAGTACAGCCACCGTCAACCACGCGTTCGGAGTGGAAGTGTGCTCCGTGTGATCGTGGACGGGGCACCAAAGGAGGGGGAGTTTTTTTTTTCTCTGTCTGTACCCACCTTCACAGTCCGCACCATAACAACCTCAGATAGCAAAACTCATGAACTTTCTCATAAATTTCCGTCCCGTAGTCTCCTCAGTCCTCTTTCACATTCCCTCTCTAGTAGATCAAATGAACAGCTGTTTCACTGTTGATCCCAAATATACACTGTAAGTATCACTGTAGATCCCAATCAAGCAATCCTGTTATGGATCAACTGAGAACACAAAATTAACAAAAGGGAGGACATGACGGACTATCACTGGTCGATTCCAAAATAAACACGTTGTCATTGTAGATTGACAGTATCACTGTAACCGGAATCCAATGAATCAACGGGAGTGGCTCGATCGACGCCGAAAATCGAATAACCGAGTTGATTCAAGGCCATTAATCATCATCACTCTGACCATCGACATCAGAAACCATCTGTAGGTTTCTGATGGTGTTCTGGCAACTTCAGTACAACAGACGGAAAACGATGTCTTATCAAATTTGAAGGGAGATCTTGCAATACCCTTGAAGGCGTGAAGAGTGCGACAGGCATTACCCCAAATGTTTACCGTCTTCAGAGTTCTAAGAAGTGTTTGTAAATCTTCATCTGCTGGTCGCTTCTTGTGGGTAGTGCCGTGCTTTGGAGTTTGAAGCATCTTGTCGAAGTTTGCACAAATGTCCATCATTACTGGAGCAGCCTTTGAAACTGCAATGATTGACTGTTCTGTTTTATTCGAACCCAATCCTTTTATCAGCTCTTTGATCATTTTCACCTCATTTTCTTTCTGAAGGTCTGTTGGTTTGTTGTTACCATTCCCTCCATGTGTGCTCACAAAGGATGCAGCTCTCACTCTCATGCCAATGGCAGGAGGCAGCAAAACCTCGGTTTTCAGTATATAGTCGACACATTCCACAAAGTACTTGGAGAGATAGGAGTGTGAATAGAAGAATGGAATCATCTCCTTGAGTATCACATTTGTGCGAATCACATCTCCTTCATGTATGGCATCACTCAGGTGTATCATGATGAAGTACCATTGGAGGTACTGCAGGACATAGTTGGACAGATCATCCACAGGGTCAACTTTGTCTGCCACCCTCCGGACCATGATGGGAAGTCCTGATATTGGTAATACAGTACATCCGATATTGAGATTTCCTTCTGCTATCTTTATCGTGAACACTTGCACGTTGATTGAAAGATCGAAACAAACATGGCCATCGTCACCGCCGAGACAAAGTCTGTAATCATGACATTTCTGTAGAAAACCTGTATGTGCATTTTCTTGCTGGCCGGGTCTTCTCCGTCCTACAAAGAGAACAATGCACAAATTGTCAATTCTTTGCATTGGATAAGTCATTGTCTGTGAATGGAAAGATTTCAGTATGCTATATATTATGTTCTGTTGTACACTTCATTTTGATGTTAAAATGTCTTATTGTTTAAAGAATTAAACAAAATATATAATTATGGACTTTCAATTATGTCAATTCATTGTTCGATGGCTCATAGTATGGCTAATACAACCAATATTGTTTTATTGATGCCATGTGATGTCTCGACCAATATAGAAGGTGATTCCTTCACCAGTGCCAGCCGATCAAATGATGTACTATACCTCTCTGCGTAATTGTATCCCCCGAACGAAGTTCGTGGGGATACTATGGGTTTGGCATCGTCGCGCCGCCGCCGCTGCCGCGCGCCGCTAGAGATTCCTGTGAACGCTCTACAGGCTGCAGTTCTTCTCGGATCATCTTCAATTTCGAAAGAAGTGCGTTATCGTAAAGCGAAGACACCTATTGTTTTGTGTGGGGCGGAGTCATCGTTGCCATGGTAACAACATTTTTGTCGAAATATTCTAGAACCTGTAACTCTACACTTTTTACGCCGATATCATGAAATTTATATTTGTATTAAAATTTAAAAATTTAAAATAAAAATTAAAATTTAATATTGTATTTAAATTCATTTTAATTTATGATTGTCATCAAGACATGTTATATCGGCCTGTGTGCCAAATTTCATGACAATCGGGTAAAAAAAGCACAAGTTACAGGTTCTACACATATTCCACAAAAATGTTGTTACCATGGCAACGATGACTCCGCCCACACCAAAAACGATTGCGTCTTCGCTTTACCATAACGCACCTTCATGCCAAATTGAAGATGATCCGAGATCGGGTAAAAAACTGCCCACCAGGTCATTCGACCTTTATTTCACCTTTACCTTGACCTTGATCATATTTCTCTTCCGCTCTCTAACTCAGCCCCTAATTGACCTAGCGCGACCCAAACTTGGTATGCTTACACATCTTGGGAGAAGGTCTGTCGCATACCAAAACCACCTACTGCCCTTGACCTTAGTTTGGACCTTCACCGTCGACTTACATCTCCTCTTCGGCCTCCTAGGGTAACCAGATTCCATATACTTGCACATCTGAGCACACCAGTTGTCTAACAAACCTTTGTCTTTGTGACTTATTTAACTTTACCTGCCTTCTACGTCCTTACAGAGATATTCTATTCATACTAGATCACGGGGGATACATGTAGTTGGCGACAACTGCTCATTTCTAGTTACTGGTATGGGTCTGGTATGGGAACCCTGACAAAGATTACAGTTAGTGCCATTACCTGCATGTCGAACTGGTTAAGGATTGAATCCAAGAGCTTGTCCATTACTGACGACGCAACTGCAGCTTTCTTCTCTTTGTGGACGAGTTTGATGTTGCTAGGAATATCAGAATGGTGTGGTTCATCATCTATGTCCTCCATCTTGAAGAAATCCATCAGGTAGTCAAGGAAGTACGCCTTTCCCACAAGTTTTGTGAAGTCATCATGAGCCTGGAACATACACCAGTGCAGGCAATTGATATTGTAACAACAACATGTCAAACATTACTCACAGTAGCATAATATGACACATACGAGACATATATGTCGTTGAGAAGTCATTGATTAACCACTCCGCGTTCAGGCCACAAAATTGTGAATGTGTAGGATATCTTTGAGTAGTAGTACTAGTATACTAGTACGTGCATTTGTACTTAGAGAGAATACAGGTGCTATTTTACATTCATTATATTACGGTTCATTATTTCTTTATTAACGGGTGTGTGTAGTTTTACTTTGATCTACTATATAAAGTACTTTCTAATGCGAGATATATATTAATGCGAGTTAGCGTTTATCGCATTTTTCGCATTAATAAATATCTCGCATTAATTTCTATTCTTACAGTATATAAAGCTAGCTATGATCAGTCGGTGGTAGTGGTGTCATGTACTCCAACGTGAGAGTCCTGTGACCACACGTTTTCTGACTTTCGATCTTGTCTGAGCATACGCTCTTGATATGATAATGAACATTCGCA